AATCAGTGATATGAGCTTATTAATATCATCTTTAATGAGATAAGGAAGTTTGTATAAAGTAATTTAGATCAATTGTGTTACGTGCGTTGTTTTGATAGTTGATTGATAGTTCATGTCAATGACGCTAAACTAGTCCTATCAGGGTAATTATAAAGTTATTGATATCAAGGCAATAACGTAATATTTAAGTTATGATGAAATCCCTCATGTACTGACATTGTTAATATTTTTATATCAATGATATTTATGGAGGTTTTGAGTGACTAATATTAAATATATATGGAAATCTTCAGTAATATTTAAGGGTCTTTTCAGTAATATTTAAGGAAATCTTCAGTAATGTTTAAGGGACTTTTCTGTAATATCTAAGGAACTCTTCAGTAATATTTAAGGGTCTGTTCATTAATATTTAAAGGTTATTTCAGTAATATTTAAGGAAATCTTTAGTAATATTTAAGGAAATCTTTAGTAATATTTAAGGGTCTTTTCTGTAATATTTAAGGGACTCTTCAGTATTATTTTAGGATCTTTTCAGTAACATTTAAGGGACTCTTCAGTATCCTAAATATTAAAAGAATGAAAGGATTCTCCCCGCTAACCTAAATAGCATTAGGTTTGTTACGTAACGAAATGGATTTTTTTTTTCTCTCTCTTTTTTTCGTTTTCTTTTTTCTTTTCTTTTTTTTTAAACTCGGGAAGGGTTGACATACCATGAAAACCTATTTCGATGTTTTTTTGTGTGTGTTTTGTTTTTTTATTTGTCCGTAAAAAGTAAATGGGTGATGGTAACATTTATATTATTACGTTTGCTGTACAGAAGTTTCCGTTGATAGTTGATTACTTTTTTTTAATGAAGATTGGTCGTAAGATTTTTTTCTGTAAATAACATGAATGCGTGGAATATTTTCATTGTCAAACATGTTGTAGAGGAATATATATCGTTTTCGTGATGTATGTGAAATATATTAAATTATTGCGGTTTAAGTTATTAGACTTTTCGAAAAAATATTCAATTTGATTTTGCAGTGACTTTGAAAATATAATTCCATCATCTTTGCAATGAAAACGGACATAACTAGTTAATGGAATAGTTTGCTAATGATGATAATAAGATATACATAAAACTAACGAATCCAGGGAAATAAACATATAAAAATAGAACGATTTTTTAAGAAAACATACATTAAACCGAGAAATCCTAAGTAAAAATAGAGAATGAAAAAGGGTTAAAAATAAAACGAAAAAAACATTGTCAGGCCACTAATAGAGAAAAATAATAATGCGGTTGCCAAGTTTGATATTATTAGTTGATAATAATAATAAAACCTATAAACCCAGTTAAACCCAATGAAAAAATTAAAGCTTAAAAATAGAACGAAAAAAGGTAATCAGGCAACCGAGCGAAAGAACGAAAGAACAGTTGCCAAGTACGGTATAATTCGTTAATAATAATAGTAATAAAACACATAAAACCGACAAATCCACCCACCAAGAAAAAAACGTAAAACCAATGAAATAAAACATAATAATCATAAAAAATAAAAAAAACAAAAAAATTAACAATTTGATAAATAAAACGAAATAAAAAAAGGAACACCAGGCAACCTAGCTAAAGAACAAAGGCGGTTGCCAAGTGTGTTATTATTGTCAACCGCAGCATCAGCATCAGGAGGAGGAGAAGGAGGAGGAAGCAGAAGACAACGAGATTCTGCCGCCGAGCATCTCAAGCCCTCTGCCAGGAGATGAGACTCTTGGCAGACGGAGCAGAATCTTTTTGGGGAGGAAAAGATCTTGCGGAGGCTGCGGTTTCTAAGATGGGGGAGTGGGGGGAGGGAGGGGGGAAGGGGAGAGGGGGAGGGAGGGGAGGGGAGAAAGGGGGGGTACGAGGGAGTGGGGGGAGAAAAGGGGGTAGGGGGGAGAAAGGAGGGGGTTGGAAGGAGTAAGGGGGAAGAGGGGGGGGTAGGAGGGAGTGGGGGGAGAAAGGAGGAAGAGGGGGAGGGAGGGGAGAAAGGGGGGGTAGGAGGGAGTGGGGGGTGGAAAGGAGGAGGGGGGGGAAGGGAGGTAATGGGAGGTATTTGTAAAACCTGAGGAAATGGAGTTCAGTTATTTTTAAAGGAGGGGATATATACCGGCTGGTCAAGTTTTTTTTTTTTTTTTTTTCAATGTATTTATTTCGTTATTTTTATCGATTTATCTGCTGGTTCCTTCGCCGGGGGGTGGGGGTGGGGGTGGGAGAGGAGCGGGGGGGAGTGGTTGAGAGGGGGGGAAGAGGGGGGAGGGAGGGAGGTAGTAATAACTTGAGGAAATGGAGTAAAGACATTTTTAAAGGAGGGATTTACCGGCTAGTCTGTTTGTTTAATGTATCTATTTATCTATCTGCCGCAGTGCCTTCGGTGGGGGGGGAGGGGGAAGAAGGGGGGATGGTTGAAAGGGGGGAGGGGGAGGGGGAGCATAGTTGTAAACCTCGTGGAAATGAAGTAAATTTATTTTTAATTATCTTTCGAGGAAAAAAAAAAGTTCTTGAAGAAGCTGCTGTTCCTTTCGGTGGGGGGGGGGGGGGAGAATGGGGGGGATATAAAGTTCGAGGAAATGGAATAAAACGGATATTTTAAGAGAGGCGGGAGGTTACCGGTTAGGATTTTTTTTTTTTTTTTTAGAAAGGGGTGGGGGGAGAAAGGAGGAAGAGGGGGAGGGAGGGAGGTAGTAATAACTTGAGGAAATGGAGTAAAGACATTTTTAAAGGAGGGATTTACCGGCTAGTCTGTTTGTTTAATGTATCTATTTATCTATCTGCCGCAGTGCCTTCGGTGGGGGGGGAGGGGGAAGAAGGGGGGATGGTTGAAAGGGGGGAGGGGGAGGGGGAGCATAGTTGTAAACCTCGTGGAAATGAAGTAAATTTATTTTTAATTATCTTTCGAGGAAAAAAAAAAGTTCTTGAAGAAGCTGCTGTTCCTTTCGGTGGGGGGGGGGGGAGAATGGGGGGGATATAAAGTTCGAGGAAATGGAATAAAACGGATATTTTAAGAGAGGCGGGAGGTTACCGGTTAGGATTTTTTTTTTTTTTTAGAAAGGGGGGGTAGGAGGGAGTGGGGGGAGAAAGGAGGAAGAGGGGGAGGGAGGGGAGAAAGGGGGGGTACGAGGGAGTGGGGGGAGAAAGGAGGAAGAGGGGGAGGGAGGGGAGAAAGGGGGGGTACGAGGGAGTGGGGGGAGAAAGGAGGGGGTTGGAAGGAGTAAGGGGGAAGAGGGGGGAGGGAGGGGAGAAAGGGGGGGTACGAGGGAGTGGGGGGAGAAAGGAGGGGGTTGGAAGGAGTAAGGGGGAAGAGGGGGGGGTAGGAGGGAGTGGGGGGAGAAAGGAGGAAGAGGGGGAGGGAGGGGAGAAAGGGGGGGTACGAGGGAGTGGGGGGAGAAAGGAGGAAGAGGGGGAGGGAGGGGAGAAAGGGGGGGTAGGAGGGAGTGGGGGGAGAAAGGAGGGGGTTGGAAGGAGTAAGGGGGAAGAGGGGGGAGGGAGGGAGGTAGTAATAACTTGAGGAAATGGAGTAAAGACATTTTTAAAGGAGGGATTTACCGGCTAGTCTGTTTGTTTAATGTATCTATTTATCTATCTGCCGCAGTGCCTTCGGTGGGGGGGGAGGGGGAAGAAGGGGGGATGGTTGAAAGGGGGGTAAAGGGGGGGGTGTATTCTAAAGCTCGAAGAAATCTAATAGAAACGGATAATTTAAGGAGTGGATATAATCGGTAAAACTTTATTTATATGGTAGTTTTATTTTGGAAATAAGGTTGTTTGACTTATTTAGAGGAAAACCTGGTATTTTTTGGTACTTTGTGGCGAAAGAGAAGAAAAAATATGGTGTCTGATGGAGTAAATAGTGAACTTCGGTTAAGCGGAAGTTAAGTTTAATGTTATAACAGGAGAGAGACAGACATACAGACAGACAAGAAAGGAAAGAGATACAACAGGAGAGACAGACAGACAGACAGACAAGAAAGGAAAGACATACAACAGGAGAGACAGACAGACATACAGTCCGACAAACAAACGAGAAAAGAAGAATAAAAAAGGAAGGAAAGAGAGTCAGTGAAGGAAGGAAGGATGAAAGAGAGACTGAAGGAAAGTGGAGAGAGAAATAGTTTTAATGTTGCAGGGTTAGTTGCAGATCATAACGTGGTTAAGGGCGAAATAAGACCATTTTTTCGACACCGGTGAATCTATAGAAGAGATACGAATGAAAAAAAAACTCTGTGATGAATACGCACACCGGAACTTACATAAAAATAAACGCTGTAACGTACATAAATCTATATAAAAAAAACAGCCACGATTCGAACTGAAAATAAAATTAATTTCGCTTTTTGTGTTTCTTTTCTTTCTTTCTTATACCTTGACGTTTCGAAATGTTACGTTACGTTACGCTCGTTTTCATTTCATATAGTAACAGTGTTTTTTCTTAATCCCCAATATGATGGCGTTTTATCGAAAAAGGCAACTGCATCTCACTCATTTTCATTAATTCCTTTTCCTCCATTTTTTTCCTAAGCTTATTTCGGGAATATGACTGGAATTATTACGAAATATTTAATCAATAATCATCATGTTTTATAAAGTTGTTGAACCTGTTTACCATATTTTAAATATTTATTGAACTATTTACCATATTTTAGATATTTATTGAACTATTTACCATATTTTATAAATTTATTGAACTGTTTACCATATTTCCTTTTTACAATTATTTATACTGCTTAATTTTCTCCCTTATATCTTATATCTTATAAGCCTTATTGACCATCTATTTGTAATTACTGTTACTTTTTTCTCTCCATATCTTCTATCTTATTAAATTGATTGACTTATATTTATCTTAAACATCGCTATTTTTTTTTTTCTTTTTCTTTTTTCCTTTTCTCTCCATATCTTCAATCTTAATAAATTAATTAACATATTTATTAATCTCAATGACTTATATTGCTTTTATTTTTCTCCCTCCCCCCACCCCCCCTAG